CAAAGGTCTTTAGCATCATTGCCGAATAAGGGTTCCCTTCTCGAAGTCATGCATAAAGGACAATCTGGTTGTCAGCTGGAGTTGAAAGTTAGGTGCATTCCGGATAGAAACTTTCTGAAGGGTTTGGATGAAGAAAATCAGCCCAATCAACAATTACATTCCAAGTTAGAAGAGCACTGTAGTCGACAAATATTGCAGACACAAGATCAACCAAAGGTAAAGACGGTTGGTTGCAGCCCCACAAGTTGGCTTGAGGTTTACAGCGTGAATTTTATGTCAACTTGTGAAAATGATATGAAAACAAGAAGTTTTATCTCTCAGGCTGAAAAACCGCTCGTTAAGAAGACATCGGAATTGAAAGTGACCGGTATCAAACAAGATCAAAAGAGTCACGCGATACCAGCACCTGGCATCGAGTCGAATTCTGTTTCCCCAGTACCCTTTCATCACCGTAGCAACCATATAGAGCTCCAAGATAGACCGATGGCACAACAGAGGTCTATATCGTTTGATCCCGTTGGCTCGACAGAACATGGAATTGAACCAATTCACAGTACTGTGTCTTATGTCACTTTGCATCCAGAAGAAGACTGGACGAAAGTTATTCCACCACAAACACTGAACAACGGAGTAGAAATAGGTACAATATCCGCATTCGGTAGGATATTGGCCTATGCCGATGGGTCAACGCACAATACAGAAACGGTGGATGATGACAGAGATCGTTATTGTTCGGATTGTACAATTAAACAAACGGGTTCATGTTTGTCAACAAGAAGTATGGAGTCGTTCAAAACCTGTCTTGGTAGTCATAATAAAAGCCTGCAAGTGAATACCGGTTCTTCAGATTCAAAGAAGACACTGGTTTACGAATGTGCTGCAGATGGAGTGCGTCCTGGCAAAGTTATGAGTCCCTATCGTCATTCACACACTACATGTGAAATAGGTTACAATTTACACCCCACGTCTATCATTTTCCGTTCGGTTACACAGCAGGAAACCAAGTGTTGTTGTTCTGGACGGATGAATGAAAAACCCGAACAGATGCAAATTTTAGTTGATAAATCGGATACATGTGATCACTCTCAAGAACCGGCTCCAACGGGAGCACTTGTGCCATTTTTCATCCGAGACATTGATCAAATGATGCCTACCCAATCACCTTGTGAAAAGCGCTCGACTGATTTCCGCCTAAATGGAGCATCGACTGTTACCCCGAATTCCCAAGATAGCAAAACGGCTCACGCTGTTAGCGGCTCGTACTGTGCTCGGGAGCGCGATGGATTCAACCCTACACAGAACTCAGAAATCTCGAACAAAGCTACAGTTAGTAAACTCGATTATTCAAAAGTTCAACGTTGTCAGGTGCTTCAAACACCAGTTATTCAACCGGGTCCAATAAGGGATTTTTCGGGTTTGTTTAATTCGTGTGGAGCTTGTTGGTGTAAGAATAATCCGATCGGATTAGTAGACTCGTATTATTGTTTGGAACATACAGCAAAAGAAAGAACCAACAAGACCACTAAAAGCACCACCACTAACAGCAGCAGCAGCAGCAGCAGCAGCAGCAGCAACAACAACAACAACAAAAACAGCTGTTTCACAAATGAACATAACGTCCCTGATGAATATTTGGATGTCCGGATTAGTAACGTAAATTATCTCGACCGTGCACTATTCCCTACTCATTTAAATGAAATCGAATTGGTCACACCCACGTTTTGTGCTATCCTACCTAAACAGGATAACGCGTGTGTAAAGTGTGAAAGTAAAATAACGGCTAAAGTGAACCTCAAGCTGCCTTTAAAACGCTTGGATTTAAAGGGCTACTCTACGATAGATGACAAATGTTATGTTATCGAACCATGTTTATCAGGTAGAGGATTCCAAACTAATAAAGAGAAACAGAGCATTGAGCTGTATTCACAAGTATGCATCAATAACTACCAACAGAATTCTAGTAATTATAACACATTATTTTGGAATTTTAAGTCAAAACGCTCATCAACTCGACGTTTACCTTTTCCTTCATCAATAGGTTTTTCGATCGGTCGACCATCTAGCGATCTCACACTTTTACAATATACCAACCATCGAAGAATGGCTAATACCTCACCTACGATAACTCGCCGAGTATGGGGCAAGGAATTGGACTTTCATAGTCAATTCGTAACTAAAACTGAAGAGTATTTGGATTCTGTGACTAACACTTGTTTACAACTCCCACTGTTACCTAGATTTCTCGGTTCAAAGCGTTATGAAGATGATATCCCTAAACGTTATCCCAATTGGACATCTTATGTAAGAACACGAAGATCTTGGTTTTCTATTACAAACTCTTCAACTCCAATAAGAACAGGTTTTTCTCACGTACCCACAGCATTTTCAGCAGCGATGAAATCAAATCCCAAATCAAGTATGGTTCCAACAATCAGAAAAGACATTAGTGCAAAATGCAGTGCAAATTCAAAGGAATACATGGTCACTGCTGAAATGAATGCAAACGCAGAGTCCCTGAAATTCTCATTACTATCCTCCAGCCGTCAAAAACCGTGCATCAAATCATTAAAAACCGATGTACCATTTCCTTGGCCTGTTTCAACATGCTGGCGCAATCCTAACATTAGTGGCAAAGAGGAACGGAGTGTTGTTTTTCAATCAAGTGATACTGTGATAGGGGAAAATAACCTGGAACATTTTCCTGGAAAAAACCTTCAGTTAAGATGTTCCCACCAAAACCACCAACAATACATGTCACCACTGTCGAATGTATCACCGGAACCGTGTAGATCCACAATAAACGTTTCGAATCAAGCCGCTAATTCCCACGAACCCCCTGAACAACTGTCTTCAGAACAACAAAAAATGCTTTACATTCTCCTGAATTTACCATGCACCGGTCAGTCAAATCAAACGGTTCCTTATCCATCTATTGATCGATTCATTAAGTGCATATCGCAGCTGGAATCCTCAAATTCACCTGACAATGCCGTGGTAAGTAACATTGTCCAGAGTGTCAAAAGTTTGACTGGATTAAAGGATTTTCAGTGGCTTTCTCTGGTGGGTGCTGCTAATACACCAACTACCACCGATTGTGCACAAACAGTTCCCGCTAAGCAGCGATCAAGAACAAAAGAAACAAGCGCGGAAAAAATTTCGCACACATGTCCAAAATTTTGCTACAAAACCCCTGTTTTGAAGTCTAGCGAAGATGATCTTAACGCTAAACCGCAGACCAGCAAGAATTCTGTCGCAGTCTCACATGATGCGACTTATACTAGGATCTGTGATTGTGTCAAACCTGGCACCGGGCAAGATACAATTTTTATAAAGCGGAGTGTATCACAAAACAGCTTGCAGCAAAGTGAAAAGTCGGATGGTGCACATATAATGGTGTACAATTCGGAAGTTCATTCAGAGATAGTAAAAACTATATCAAAAACCACACTGTCCGAAAAATCTGACGAGGAAAACCCAACTTCGGATGACATGCAATCAACAAGTAGTGATCATTCTGACAATGTAAAAATAACCGAAACGGAGATATGTTTTCATCGTGAGTCTCACAAACTATCGGGCAGCCCATGCGAATGTCAATATAAACGTTCGCCTCCCACAATATCCAAGACAAATAGGACAGCAATTTCCAGTACACATACCACGGTGAAAACAATTTTCCCCAGAACAAGTGATCTGAATAAGGAGTCAACCGACGGTTATCCCTGTGACATTAGGAGGGGAAAATATGAGCCCGAAAAATCTCGCGTATCAACGGATGGATGCCAATGTTTTGAGCAAACAAAGCCTTGCAATAGGTCATCGTACAATGATGAGAAAAAGCAAACATGTTATGTGATATCTGCCTTACCCAGTGATACTGATCGGATCGTTCAAAATATGTCTAAATCCCAAATTCCGTGTAAATCAAGCTCAATGTTGGAAGAGTTACTGCGCATTCCAAGTTATCCCATGACAACATCAGAGCGTTCTCTTACATGTGTTCCATCACGCCCAGTCTCACAGGCTAGATTCTGTTATATGCCTTCGAAAGCCAAGACAGTTTCAACTCAATCAGATTCGCTAAAATCTCTAGCTAAAACGATTTCAGAGGAAGCTGTAGAAAAAGCGGTGCGAACTATCTCGAGTTTAACGGAAGGTGGTACAGAATCTGAAGCATATAGATGCAAATATACACCCGTTTTGAGTACATGTGCATGTCATGTTGCTTGTTCTGCTTCTCGAAAACAGGATGACTCTTCAGAAAAGGTCACTCGAAATTGCTGTGCTGGATGTAGTTCATCTCTAGAACAGGGTTCTCGCTGTACTATTTGCCGACGAAAATCTTCCAAAGGTACCTCCAATAGAAACGAAAAGGTGACCGGAACTGCTGATATTGTCCAATCATCGGTTAAGCAGTTTGCCACTCCACAAATTTTCATCAAGATGAGCACCGGCACTGTTGTTTCCGACCATTTCACACCGCTGGTTGAAAAATGCGGCGCCACCAACTCAGATTTACCAACCCGATGTAGTTCAGAAGTGATCGGCACGGCGGTTGTATCTCTGCGTCCAGAGGGAGCAGATTATCAAACGAAAAATTGTCTAAGCGTGATTAAGCCGACTGAATCATGCCCTCCGTGCTCTAGCACATTTTCCAAACAAACCGATTCCTACATTGAAGTAAAATATCAGCTTTCAAACCCGGATTTCATAAATGATCAAGCGCAAACTGTCCAGACTAAATTCATCACGGATGCTGCTCTTAGTGACCGAAGTCATCCATTTCGAAAATTACCTACCATCAAACAGTCGGAACTGAGGTGTGACGAAATGCCAAAGTCAGAGACATGTTATGCCGGTTATGGTATCGATCCAAAGATTAGAACAACAACACCAACCCATTCTCGGACGCCATTCACCAATCAAACAGGCCAGCGTCATTTCGATCGAATAAGTCAAAGATGCCAATTGGCCAGCTCCAAACCAAGCGCCCTCAGTTCTCGATCGTCAAAAACAGTTTCTCGTTGCACTTGTGTGTCGGACGCAGTAAATTTTGACCCTTTGTCATTGATGACTGCACATCAACGTGCACATCATCGAGTAGAGCAAACCCGTACCCAATCTGGAAAACAAGAAAAAACATCCAGATTGTTTCGTTCAAAATCCAGTAAGGATATCAGTGACAGTGAACAAGCAATGCAATCTGCAGTGCATATTTGCATACAGGAACGAGTGATAGACAACTCCATGGATGTCTGTGCATGCAGCCCGATTGGGTCTGTTGTACCTTACACTCCAACCGAAACTACGAGATGTGAAGGAGTTAATGTTCCATACACTCCTGTTTCTTTTACGGAAACAACAGAAACATCATTTATATCTTGTCTTACACCTGAGGGTCAAAGACACAAACACAAAAATCATCGAAGAAAGAGCTCTTCTTCAAAGAAGGAAAAAAGGAGAAAAGAAAAGCTCGAGTCCGGATCTTCGCTATGTGTATGTCAACACGAGACAGTTGCGCTACACACCGATCGATCGGGATTAGAGACTGTCAATTGCAGAGCCGATGTTTATGATTATTGTGCGTGTTCTCAAAGGCCCCTATCCCAAGGATATTGTGCACCGTGGTGTCTCGCACGTGATCAAAAGTTGCGCAACAGAGGTATGCGTACTATTACCTCAAATAAGACATGTGGCTTTGAGGACAAAAAAGCTGATTTAGAAGTAAAGAACTCACGCGCCAGGAGAACTAACCGACCAAAAAGCGGAAGCTGTTCACAAAAAGTAAATGAGTGGCCCGATCATGCCCCATGTGGCTGTCCAATAGGTGGATGTTCGGTTCCAGTTACACTGAAACGGAAATCATGTTTGCCTTCTGCGGAGAACATCATGGTGTGCAGACCTATGAGCACAGCTGTTTGTGTTGCCGCCCGCGATTGTGAAGAGTTCGTTGGAGAGTCTCTGATTGCAAAGAACGATCAAAAGTGCCTATGCATCAGACGCAATCCATGTTCTCGTTGTGGATTATATGATTGTCGAAATACACGTGGATTAGTATACTCCACAGAAAATATCACAGACTCTGCCAACGTTGCATCTATGAAATGTCCTAGGTATACGTCATTCATCAAAAATTCCTCATTGACGCACTCGTGTTGTTCTTTTCATTCCGATTCTTNTTCTTGCCCTAATACACCACTTATAGTGACCAGCGTTGATTGCCAATCGATCCAAACAGATCGGTGTTGTGACCAAAGAAGTGTTGTTCTCGTCCCTGCTGTGATTAGTCATTCTTGCTCGTCGGGTAGATTGTTGAACAAACCTATTCCAGAAATGATGTTACCAAAACGAACCACTTCTCTGACTCTAAATATGCATCGATATGATAGTCCCTTTCAATGTTGTGCCCCGACAGTGCAGCCTCCTGTATTACTTTGTCAGACAAAATCGTCTAAAATGCCTTTCTCTGAGTGTGAATCTCCATGCCATTTCAGCATACGTAACGACAGTGAATTGGTGCAATTTTCTCAGTGTGAATCGGCTGGCACTTCTTGCCTCAGTATGCGTTCAAAAACAAGGTCACACACTTGTGCTTCATCCAGTCTGTCGCAAACGCGTTCCCAGAGTTTGTCTTGCAATGAAGTTCGTAGGATGCGATGTTTGGCGACGAATGAAACATCGGCTGCAGCGAGTGGCCAAACCTCAAAACCCTCCACGACTCGTCAACGAGCAACCAGTGCACCGCCCATTTCCGGTCAAAGTAATTTTAAACAAAGCTCAGCATCTTCTCAACGAGATATGAAATCTGCCTGTAGCCAACGTGTTTGTAATTATATCATTCCTTCGAAAAATTTTACTCCTGTGTGTTGTGTAAAACCTGCACCCACAGCCGGATTGACCGTCCCAGAAGTGCTCAATTGTCTAGACATTCGGGCTCGTTATGTGAACGATGAAGCACCACAACGTCCTGTAGAACGAGAGCCAAGTTTAGGGACCTTGGCTAGATTGCACCAACATATAGAGACTAGAACTCCCGTTGATCTACTGGTATGTGATGCATGGACCAAAGGTAATCGCACTTCAAAGAATATCGAACCTAGACCACTGAGTCCCACCCATTTAGCTTCATTGCGAAGTTGGATTTTGCCCACAGAACGGCAATCGTTACCTAGTCCCGGCTGTCAATGTCGTAATCGGGCTATGTATGACATTGCCACCGGGGGCCAAACCTCAACAACTAGTAGGTCCCATCCGACGGATTCGATAAAGAGGCGACCTGCGAATAAACACAGAAGTAAACCTAAGAACTGCGACTATATGGCTAAGAGCTTCAGAGATCTAGAGTCCGCAAAATGTGCCTGCTTGCCACTACAGACTAGAGAGTTCACTGAAGCTTTATGTTCCGGTGGTTGTCAACGCAAGCTCTGGAGAGTGCAGGTCACTAATCCTCCACCCGAAGGTGTTTCCAGCCAACCATATTCTCCTTGCTCAATGTGCAATTCACGTACCAATTTCCCAATTGCACAAATTTGCGCGTGTGCCGAAAGTATGAATTTCATCACCCCTCAACCACCAGCCTATCAGAACCGAAGCGTCGAACATGTCTGTAAGGTTTCTACGGCAGAAGTTGGCAAGTGCTATGGGCGCTGCAATAATACCAAGGACATACCGTCGACTTACATCTACCCAGGATGTACTAGATGCAAGCGGGTATCCAATGATAACCATTGACTAAAATCTTTGAATCAGCGCACTACAGAGTTGAATTGTGAATGAACACAGAATGTCTGGCAAAGCATCTTCAATTCTGAGATTCCTATTGACATGAATTTCTTTTAACAGTAATCTGTTCAAACACAGTTTTTGTTTCATCTATCTATATGAACACGACAACATTGGAGAAACTATTGTTCTATTTGCCAGACCAAATGCTTGGTGAAGTAAAAAGCATATTGAATCTGTGGACTGTGTCAATTTCGGTCAGAAAACTTCAATGAAACGTCTGAAAGATCACGGTACTTGGAAATACGTTTCTGCTTCTCAAATACGTTCACCAACAAATTGAAATTAATTCTGGATTATTATAGTCTTTCAATTTCACTAAACTTTTGTCTATCATTCGAACCTGGTTTATTCACTCAGTTTATTTTGAAACTTGGTTTCAAATAGAAACGAACCCGTTATGCAAATCACACTTAATTTTTTTCATTTTCTGGTGAACAGTTTACTGAAAGTCACAAGATAGATCGCGCATTTTCTTGGTACAAAAATACATTAGGGGAGTTACTGAAAAATTGTGTTCCTTTTACCAACTTCTTTTTAGAACTTATCACCATTCGGCGCAAAGAGGCACTAAATCCAGTGTCTTTCGATTTGATTAAATTGTAGCCATTTTAGTACTACTTCATAATTTAAGCCTGAAGTAAATCTATGTGAATGTGAGACTCTTGGTGTGTTTGGTTTCTCTGGTTGTTTTAAAACATTTTCTATATATGGAGATCAACTGAATTGGTTTAGACATTAGGCAAAATACAAAATACAAAAAGCGAACCAAAAAATCAAAAGTTACTGGTTATAATTGTCAAGTGGTTAGCATGCAACTTGTTACAGCCAAATCGTTCTAAAATCAATAAGTCCGAAACCGATCTGTTAACTTTGGAACTTTATGAAGTCCCTACTAACAGAAAATCCTTGTATGATCTTCACAAGCACTATTATGAATCATTCGAAAACCATTTTTCACCTTCGGACATGTTTCCTCATTACTTTGGTATATACACACATTAGAGGGCTAGTATCAAGTTTGTTTTGTAACAGATCTTCCACTCAGAGTCTCAAATCGCCTTCAATCATTTTGCTCTCCTGGGTTTAATGGACTACTAACACTGACAAATTTTTGAGATTTGTGTATTTTCAAAGGTCAAGGTTTTTTTACCTGCTTTCCTTCAGGTCGAGTCGGACGAGAGCTATATAAAGATGTGTATATTAATCTGTAATAGAATAGCTTCGCGCAAATTGCTAAAAACCTCGTTTTATTTCGCTGGAATAAAATTAGGTGGATCAGAATGAAATCTTTAATATCAGAGACAATATTCAGCTGTTCACATGGTCTCTTATACATGATTTTTTCTAGCGAATGGTATGCAAGATTCCAAATTATCTCCGCAACTGCTTTCAGTTGGTCTGTAGTTTTTATTGAGTGAGTGAGTTGGTGTATTGCAAATCGAGAGAACCATTGAAACAGAAACATAGGTTGCGTTCAACAACTGGGCAGCAAAAAATGTTTCGTCCTCTGAGATTTGAAACCAATTTTTATCGCATTGCTTTCTAACCAAATGAAGAAAAACTTAATTTGTGGTCTCCTGAAGCTTTTTTTAGGTTGCCATTGCCATTTATTGCCATGAATAATGATAAGCAAATGTCTTGACTTCCTTGCTTTGTTTGCTGATTATAGAAATGTACAATGAATTTTCAAGATGGGAGCAGCGACCCTTGTAAGACTGCCTGATTGCTTATCGGTTCATCCTCGAAGGTGTCGGTAGACAATCGAGGTGTTATAATCATTATGTGGGGTATAACAATTTAAATTGGCATTTTGCTCATCCAGGTTGCCGTACTTGACGAGAATAGTATTTGATCTGCGAAGTCAAGTCCGACCGAATCACGGATGTGTTCATCACTCCTCCATTTTGAGTTCAGTGCCAGTTGCGGTCCGGAAGAACTCTGCTGAATGTGGTTGTTGACTTCCCATAGAATTACCAGTTTTAGAGCTATGCGTTTATTGCGTTAGTTCTTTTTATAAATTTTACAATAGATTCAGAGCGATTAGTTGTAAGATTGATCATTTCACTGAGAGACCTACTTCACTGATGTCTAGTCACTATATCCACGGCGTTATTAAAACCAATAACTGTCACAGGCGTGCAATTGTGGCGGTCTGACTGAAAATGATTGTCATCCACATTCCATAAGCGATCTTGGAAAAATGAAGTTATGGGTTGTGTGCCAGAACAAAGTTACGTTCGTCCAGGCAATGGTTTTTTTCCGGTAGAATCACGTGTTTGTCCAAACGGTTGGTCTGCATGTGAGCCTCAATAAGCAGAAAAGTATGAAATAAATATTTAATCTCATTCCATTTTTATTGCCTTTTGTTGAATGCAATTTTCGGGAAGTAGGGAGTGGCCAATCACAGGACTACCATATATCAAATAATGGCCAAAGTCAAGCGATACCTTAGGGATACGAACACACGTCCACTCAGGTGATAATTTGGTGACGATACCATCACACTGCGACCTATCTTATTTTGTACTCTTTTAGTCTCGGATATAGCCAACTA